ACCATTGACCATCCTGATGCCAATACCCAAAGACAAGAAGAAAGGAAAACAGATAGCCAAACAGAAATGGATATGGGGTGAAGAACAAGAACAAGCATTTACCAAACTTAAACACCTGTTAGCAGAACCACCTATTTTAGGATTTCCAGATTACTCAATTCCATTCGAGTTACACACAGATGTCAGTATTCAAGGACTTGGAGCGATTTTATATCTGTGGTAAAGTGTAAATATTTAAAAAGAGTGTATAGTTTTAGTATTTTAGAATTTTTCATTTATTTGACATGCATATTATTATTTTTGTCTGCTAAATAATTTTGATATGATTATTTCCAGGAATTTATTTAATTTAATTTATTTATATTTCAGCAGTTTATTATTTATTTAAGGTATATTATACTTTAGAAGCTTTAGAATTATTTAGAAATTAATTAAGAATTATTAGATATAAGTTTTCCCTTATACTTATTTATAGCTATAAACTTTTACAGGTCAGTGACCTATGAAGTGACCTGACAATGAGATTTCATTGGTCGAGATTTTGGAGGGAAATCTCTTTGTGGGTAGATATTTTTGGGTAGAACTGGTCATACCAGTCTTTGTGTCCAAGAGGACAGTGTGTATTTTTGGTGATTCCCTGAGTTTACTATTTTGGGTGTTCAGTTGAATGTTCATTTCATCTACATTTTCATCGAGGGTGTATTTCAAGGATCTCAGGTCTGTTGTTATATTATTTTGTATGATTGTGATTTTGATTTTGTATGAAAGTGAGTGAAAAAGGTGTTAGAATGGTGATGAAATTGTATATATGTAGGACTGAGTGAAATGAATAAATAAGTGTAAAGTTGTAAAATTAGTTTTATAAATAACTTGTATAACTGAAAGTTTGAGAGTTTATGTACATGTGTAAATGAGTAACATAAATATTTTATCTGACATTTCACTCTAATTCAGTCATGAAATTGTATATATGTAGGACTGAGTGAAATGAATAAATAAGTGTAAAGTTGTAAAATTAGTTTTATAAATAACTTGTATAACTGTAATGCTATTTATCATAAAAATAGGAATTTTATCTTTTATTTCATTTAATTTAAATAATCATTCCAATTAAAAGCATAGGTATTTTTCATTAAATTAATCAGTTATCATTTTTAAAGATTTTTATATCAGCTAAGGAAGATTACTCATTTTTATGCATTCTTTATAGGACTGACACGCATGTGTATGCATATGTGGTAGTATCTAATATCAAGACCTTTTGACCATATTGAAGGTAATTTATGTGTTTTATGTTTGTGTTGTTCTATTATATATATATGTGTTGACAAAACTTTATTTTGAGTATTTGTCTTGCATGTTTACATTTTGTGTTGAATTGAATTTCATTTGTATTCAGTCCAATGCATGATATTGTATTTTTTTAAATGTTCAGTAAGATCATTTGATTCTGAATTATTTAAAATCAGATAATGATTATGATAAATTATTATGATTTTCTTTTATTTTAAATTACTTAATTGTCAAAGGAATTATTTTTATGATGAATTGATCTGTGATAAATAAGAAGTAATTATTTTTATATAAATTTAATACAAAGAGAATATGAACTATAAAGTATGAATTTATTATAATGATAACAAATACTGTATTGCAGTTGAATGTATATTTTTATCTTGTCTAATAATTGTTATTGTTGTTACAGGGTCTACTACTTGTACTATATTACTACTCTATCTAATAAAATCAACTAAACCCAGGAATGATGTCGTTTGTATTCCAAGAACCCTATTACATACACAGACACAAGAAGGGAAAAAGAGAGTCATAAGTTACGCAAGCAGAGGATTAACCAGATCAGAGAGAAATTATCCTGCCCACAAGATGGAATTTCTAGCCCTTAAGTGGGCAGTAACTGAGAAGTTCAAGGATTATCTCTACGGAAACTCATTCACCGTATATACAGACAACAATCCTCTTACATATGTCTTAACGACTGCAAAATTGGACGCAACCGGACATAGATGGTTAGCGGAATTGTCCAACTACAATTTTAACATCATTTACAGACCTGGTAAGAATAACAAGGATGCGGATGGATTAAGCAGAGTTCCAGAGGATGTACAGATAGATAAGGAATCAATCAAAGCCATCTCGAATTCAACATACACACAAGGATTAGTAGAGAGTATAGCTATAGATACCAATGTTTTTCAACAGACCATCAGTGAATCAGATATATCAGACACCACCAAAATTGACTGGAAACAAAGATAGGATGCAGATGAGTTACTGAGGAAATGGAAATACTTTGTGAAAAGTGGAAAGAAACCAAAACAACACCAAATAACATCTAATGAGGAATCAAATGCTTTGAGGAGAAATTTTAAGAACTTGTTTATAGAAGACGGTGTATTATACAGAAAAACCAGAACCTCAGGAGAAGAAAGAAATCAACTAGTTCTACCTAGGTGTTACATCAGCAGTGTTTTAGACTATCTACACAACAAATTTGGCCATCCAGGACGGGAAAGGACACTATCCCTTATCAGAGACAGGTTCTATTGGAATGGAATGTTTAAGGACACAGAGAACTGGATTAAAAATTGCCAAAGACGCGTGTGTAGGAAGACACCAACAAACCAGTATGCACCTTTGACAGACATAGAAACATCATATCCTTTAGAACTAGTCTGTATGGACTTCTTAACGCTAGAACATTCAAAAGGAGGTTTCCAGCATATTTTGGTGATCACTGACCACTTCACTAGATTCGCGCCATACCAACTCGCAATATGACAGCAAGAACAACAGCTGAAGCCCTATTTCACAACTTCATAACTTACTATGGAATACTATCAAGAATCCACAGTGACCAAGGAGCAAATTTTGAGAGCAAAATCATAAAGGAACTGTGTAACATCACCGGCATGAAGAAATCCAGAACTACTACATATCATGCAATGGGAAAGGGGATGACTGAACGCTTTAATAGGACATTGTTGGACATGCTAGGAACATTAGAGCCACATCAGAAATCTAATTGGAAGTCTCATGTTGCACCATTAGTCCATGCATACAATTGCACACGCCATGAGAGTACCAATCAGTCACCTTACTACCTCATGTTTGGACGGGAACCACGGCTTCCAGTTGACTTGGCCTTTGGTATTAACAACCAGCAACAGAAAACATTGTCCAAGTACATAGAAGACCTTCGCCAGAAAATGAAGAAAGCTTATGAAATTGCAACGTCATCAGCAACAGCAGCCCGTTTTAAACAAAAAGAAGTATATGATATGAAGACAAGGGGAAACAACATCAAAGAGGGGGATAGGGTCTTAGTGAAAATTGTCAGTTTCGATGGCAAACATAAAATAGCAGACAGATGGGAGGAGGACATCTACATAGTACTGAGTAGGGCTGTATCAATATATCGATATATCGATATGTATCGATATTCAAGAAAAATATCATATCGAAAAATTACTTCCAATACGTATCGGACAAGCACTTTTTCTCCTAATTCTGCTAAAAAGATGTGAATTTTAACCAGCAAAGATTATATTGAACTTTTTTGAATTAAAATTGATCAATAATTATAGATTTATTAAAGAAATAACACAGTTTTTATAGTTATTATAAATTGCAAAATAATTTTATTTTAATACATTTTGATTTTACAGTCATTAAAAGTTTCGATTGGAAGTGTTTTATTTACTGACTATGGGATAAGAACTTTGAAATGGGTAATAAAACACAATTTTTTTATGAAATACATACATTAAATAATTAAAAAGCCTTTTTTGATGGACTTGTTTTAGAATCCAATATATCGCATATCGCTTTAAAAAATATTGTATCGTATCGTATCGGAATTTTTTACTCAATACACAGCCCTAGTACTGAGGCAACCAAATCCCACAATACCAGTGTATGTTGTAAGGAAAGAGAGTGGTGAGGGAAGGAAGAGAACATTGCACAGGAATCTCCTACTTCCTATAGGTCACCTGGATAGTTTTAGAGAATCCAGAAAGACAAAGTCAGATATAGCAGTAGCTGAATCTACAAAGAATAGAACTAAGAGGAATCAGAACCAGTACAAGAGACCACTAGTGATAGTGAATCTGAGGAGGAGTCAGACAATGAGGTACCGGTACCAAGCTTTAGTCAGGACATCCCACATGATGCTAATGACGAAGGAGAAAGTCAGGTAGGGATAGAAGTTGAGGACGCTCAACAAGCTGAAGATTCAGATGAAGTGGAAACTGAACAACAGCAACTTACAACTGACCAGTTGGGAGAGGTGTCACAGGGTGACAATAGTCAAGTATGCATTGAAGATGCTGCAGAGATTGCACCTGAAGAAACACTAGTGGAGGATGATGAAGAAGAGCAGCAAGTCAGGAGAAGTACTCGACAGAAAACACAGCCATCCTGGATGAGGAGTGGTGAATTTGTACAGTCTGTCCAAAGAGGTAAAAGTACTGAGGATCCTTGGAACGCAAAGGAGAAGATACAGTACCTACAGAGTATCCTGATCACTTGTTCCTGTAGAGGGTTTGAGAACAAAATCATTGATACAATGATTTATCTAATGAAGCAGTAATGTTTATTCTATGATTTTCTTTTCAGCTTTTCCTGAGAATTTTAATTTGTATATATTTCAGTTTTTAGGATGTTTTCTCACACATTGCTCCTGAGCATTGCATGTGTGAATTTGCAGAATGGTGAGTATTATTGTGTATATACAAGTCAGAATATGAAATGTTTATAACTTTACATTTCTTGATATTGTACAGGTTTCCTTTGATTAATGACGGGGTCGTCATTTTCCAAACAGGGGGAGTATGTGGCAGAGTGGTTTTAATAAATAAATAATTAATAAAGAATATTTATTTATCTCAAATTGTTTTTATAGTTTTCATTATCATCATTGCACTTTTCACTTTGCATGTTACTAATTCTGACTGGCTGACCTTGTCGACCTTTGACATTACGAGTTACGAAATTTTATTGGCCAAGGGTTTTGGCGGTAAGTTTCTATTGTTCGATGTGATGTGCGGGGGGCACTTCCTTCTCGCACGGACAGCCAAAGTTACCGGCTGTGAGACGATTCTGTCTCAGTGACAACCATATATACATTCGTGTTTACAAGATTACTTTGAGCATTATTATACAGATCACATACAGTAAGTCTTATCTATTTTTCTACTTTTATCTTTCTATCTTTACGTAATATAATTTCTTTGATTGAAAGAGAGAACGAGTGAAGTTTTGAAATAAAGTTCATTGTCTCTTGTAAAGCATTATTATCAGTAATCATATTGATTATAAGTAATACTAGATATAGATGTTGTAATTTGTACAGTTTTATTATTTTTATGATCAGCTATAATATTGTCTTGAGATTACGGCTGAACCTATGGTTGTTGTTTTTATATAGATTCTGTATAGATGTAATATTCGAGCCAGCATTTTTGTTAGTGCCCAGCCTGATTCCATAAATTGGTACGCTATAGGAATTACTTGTTTTTACATTTTTAACATACTTTGATAAATTATTCAAACTTACGGAAATTTCTATCTAAACACGATTTTGGTAATTCTGAAATTTGTAAGAGTTATTTCCCTTTTTACGCATTCATGAATTTGGAACATTAAATCCGTGTCGATGTATGAGGACTGCATTGAACTGAATATATTGTTTGATGTCATTTACTTATTGTATTTTATTTCTTATAGGGCCGATATTTTCAATTGTTTATATGTGGAGCGAGATCCCGGCAATAAAGAATCCATGTAACCCTTATACTGTGTTTGTTCATCAATATGACACGGTCACAAATTCAGTGTATAATTAATGGACTTACAATTAGTATGAAAAACGTCAGTCAGCATTTAACTCATTGATAACCGATTCTTTGTCATCTGTAGAATCTGAAGAAGTGTTTGTAGTTAACATATCTATAATATCTTTTTCTCTTGTGTTTTTGATTTGTTCTTTATCTTTTACGCACTGCTCTTTTCTGTCTCTCAGTCATCTGTGACACATTTTTCAGTTTTCCGCTATTTTTTCTTGATATATACATTTTTTCTGCCTGCAAGTATTTTTGGTGTTTTTCGGGATCGGTCTTTTGTCGCTCTCTCCATCTTCCCGCTTTCTCTTTTGCTGACAGTGCCATTTGAAGTGATGTTGCTTTGCTAATTTGTTTTGCAAAATGAGATGCTCTATGTATGTGCCCACTTAAAAAAGCATCAGCCGCAAGACCTACCCGTATATGGCGATGTTGATCGCTGGGGGAGTTCACTTAAAAGTCCAAATGGTGTTTTCTCCTAGAATACTGGTAAGTTTTCAATTCTTATCAAATCTTTTTTTTTATAGTTTCTTCTTCAAGCTTTACCTTAAATGAAATGTTTTATAATTTAAATAGGTATAAAAGTTTAGATTCCATATATGATATTTTATTTGGTAGTCTTTACTGAAGATTGTAAGGAATTGACAAATAGCATAATGTTGAAGACTATATAATTCATTATACCTATGAATTACCTTATTAGGGGATAGATATAATTTCATAGATAAATTAAAAATGTTACTACATGTACCATCACATATTGTCATTACCGTAACAATTACGTTTCGCAAAAGTGTCTCGGTAATGACCCGTTATGGTAATGACAAATTTATTTTTTTTTAATTTACAAGGCCTTTCTTATCATCATGGCTACTGATAGGATCTTAAGCGTTCGATAGAGAAAAAAACTAATTTGTAGCCGACTAAATCAACTTTTCACTTGAGGTTAATGTATTTGTATATTTTTTTTTTGCATTCGGAAATGACGTACAATAAATATACTGTTAATGTTTTAAAGTGGTTAGACTAGGTTTTAGCTACTTAAATCGCTCGCCAAACTTCCATGCTGCTGCATCTCAACAATTTTCCAGGGTAAATTCAATCACGTAATATTCATAAAAACCTGCGCCTTTGTTTTGTACAAACAAGTATATTTGAAACTTTGTTACGGTAATGACATAAAAATTGGAATTTGCATTGAATGCATGAATCAGTATGTTTATCAATTGCCAAAAAGTTTTAAAAAGGAACTTATGGACGGTTAATTAATACGATTTAATGAATCATCTGCGTAAATCCAGGATTTGGAACATTGGTTGTTTTTTTTTTTGTTACCATCCTTGATTATTTAATTTAAGAAAAATTAATATGTTGTTTTCAATTTAATATTTTTCGCTTATATCAAGCATAAAAACATTACATTTTATCCTTGATACAGAAAGCGATGTTTAAAATTATCTAAATTTCACGCGAAGTTTTCTTAAACTCGCGGGGCACTATTTGGGCATCTGTGTTTAGAATGACCCAATTATTTCCTCGCGTTTCATGAGGAATCTGCTGTATGCATGCTTTATTGTATTTTTTTAAACAAAAACCATTACATCAATTATATATTTTATTTACTCATAATTATAATCAATCCTTCATGGTTCACAAATATTAACAACCAACACAATTCAGGATAATGTCGGAAAAATCCGCTAAACCGCCACAACCAGCGTCCAGAGTTTCTGGTACTAAACGAAAAGCTTCTGGTCCAGGACGTCAAGAATAGGCTCCTGATAACGGCAGAAATAGAACAATAGTAAAAAGATGACAATCCTCCAGTTAAAAGAGGACATAGTAAGTTAAAGAAACAGAAACTAGAGAACGAAATAAATTAAGTGAACATAATTTGCCAATGCCTCCAACCGCTATATGTGGGCACAGGCACTTGTTTCGGGAATAAATTTTAACCCATTACACGGAGTACCCCCTTAGAATAGTGCTCATTTACATTTTCAGAGGAAAGGCAGTGGCAAACTGTTTATATCTATGTCTTCTACGAAAATTTATCTACCCAACCATATATGGCTTGCTTGTCTTTATTATGCCCCCCTTCGAAGAAGGGAGGGCATATTGCTTTGCTGCTGTCTGTCGGTCCGTCGGTCGGTCTGTCGATCCACTTAGTTTTCGTTCATTTTCTTTGCAACCGTTGCAGATACTGAAATGAAATTTGGTATACAGATATATCACATGAATATCTAGGTCAAGTTCTGTTATGGGTACGACCGCACCATTTTTGACAGTGTTATGCCCCTTGGACTTAGAAAAATTCCAGTGATTTGCAGTTTCCGTTTATTTTTTTTTGCAACCGTTGTAGATACTGAAATGAAATCTGGTATACAGATATATCACATGAATATCTAAGCAAAGTTATGTTTTGGGTACAATCGCACCATTTTTGACAGAGTTATGCCCCTTGAACTTAGAAAAATTTCAATTATTTGCAGTTTCCATTCATTTCCTTTGCAACCGTTGTACAAATATCAAGGCCCCGAAACACAATTTCATTACAGGATCCAATAATATTAGGTTTAGTACTGTCACAGATCACGAAAAATCGATATCACATATCCATCCTTCAAAGGTTGTTGCATCTCGAGTTGAAGCAGCTAAGAAAACGTCAGTTGCTCATAAGACTGTGATATCTTTGAATGAAGCTGCCCGGAAACAAATTGAACTAAAATTCCGCAACATACATGCTTTGGTAAAGAATAATCGGCCAATTAGTGACTTTACTTGGTTAAATGAACTTGATATTGCCAAAGGTGTTGATCAAGGAACAACCTACAACAACCCTACTGCAGCAACAGCTTTTTTAGAGTGTATTTCAGCTGTTGAAAGGGAAAGGATGAATGACTTGTTGACAGGTATCAAATTCTTTTCTCTTACTATGGATGGTAGTATAGATAATGCAGTTGTAGAACAAGAAACATTATTTTTTCGTGCAGCTAAGAATGGGAAAATTATTTCTCGATTTGTTTGCATTGGAGAACCCAATTCAATCTCTTCAGCAGATTTATATAAATTTGTGAAAGACAGTACTCAAGAGAATGGTTTGGAGAAACACATGAGTAAACTTGTGGGATTTGGAAGTGACGGGGCTGCTAGCATGATGGGAAAGAAGACTGGTTTAGTCACTTTGATGAAACATGACCACCCTGAAATGATAGGGATTCATTGTTTAGCACATAGATTAGAACTGGCATTCAAAGACATATTCAAGGGTGACAAGCTGTACATGCAGCTTACCACACTCTTACTTGGAATTTATTACTTTTATAAGAATAGTCCAAAGCAAAGAAAATGTCTAAAGAGAAGCATGGAAGTATGCTGATTGCTCACCCTAAGTTTACTTTAACTTATAATTTTAACCGATTTTATTGAAGTATATGTTTTATTCAATTATATTGTATTATCTAAATAACGTTTTTCTATTCAGATTTTAGATGTGAAAGGCACATTACCCCACAGGGTATGTGGAAGTCGATGGTTGCCCCACATGAAGAAGGCCTTGGGTACGTTGTTCAAAACCCACCTTGCATTCTTTACACAGTTGCAGAATGCATCAAATGGAAATGCCAAAGCGGAGGGACTTTTCAGGATGTTAGAAAGTTATAACATTTTGCTATATGCTGCACCTTTGCAGGTATGTTTATCTAAGTCATGTAATTGAAGGCATGAAAAAAAATACAAAATGTGATATGTA